GTGTGCGTGTGCGTGTGCGCGTGCGCGAGAAGAGCCGCGAAAGGAAGCGTTCTCGTCGGCCGAGGTCGTTCTGTTGTCCCCGGGGGAGCGTCTCGAGCCCTCCGTGCCGGGCCTCCTGTGTCCCCGGGGGCGCTCTGCCACGCGCACTCCAGCTGATGGGGAGTGTCGAGAGATGAGCTTCGGCCCACCGTGATTTTAGATATATAAGGACGAGCTTTCCTTAAATCTCAGAAGTGGGGTCCACGCTGTTAGGATGTAACGCAAACATCTTAAAACTAGATGACCCGAGGCTGGCAGTCACCACATATCAAATTCCTCGCCGTGATCCTGCGCAGACGCAGCGACCTTAAGGAAATGTGTCTACTGAAATTCGAAAAAGGCACGAAAACCTAAAAATATGAAATATCATGGTGACCAAGCAGCATAATATGCCCCGCCACAGAGACCTCAGAAGCCTTTTGTCTCAAAGTGAAGGGAAGAAATATAAATTCAGATCGCCTGAACCGTCTGAAGAGAAGGGAAAAGAGGAAAGACTTAAGGGAAACAGACATACGAAACGAGGCCTCACATCCGGCTTTGAGTGAGTGCTGCAAAATGTTGCAACCATCTAATCGTTTGCAATTTCGAAAAGCCATGGTGTGTGGGCTGCTGGGGGAACGTTAGTCTCAAGAGTGTAGGTTCCAATTACCGGGAAGAGGCGAATCTAACTGTTGTTGCCTTTGCAACAAGCGAAGCGCGATTTACTATATAGGTCAATATCAACGTACAGATACCAGGGCTCGCACCATATTCAGAGTTACGAAGTGTGTAATGATGGAACTGCTCTGGCCGCCGGCCACTCGTCCCAGCGCGCTCGCAAAAATATCGAAATCAGTTCATTCGAATTTGAAGAAAACTGCTGTCCAGCGCACAGCCACGCTCGGTCCGGTCACGCAAAAGGAATCTTGTGGTTTGCGCAAGATGTTGAGAGGGAAACCGGCGCTCGCTCCCTCCGTCTCCAGCTCACACACACCGCTTGCCGTGTGTACTTTCTCTCACGGCCATTTTTGTGGCCGCATATGTATAAAACCGGCTTTGATCTGTTGCTAGATAGATCTTTGAGCATAGATATGCGCAAGTGTGTTTGTAGGTCTATTTGCATTTCTGTAAAGGCCCTCTGTATATGCTACATGCATACATACATATGTACTTTCACGAGCGTGCAAGTCCGTAACGCACATATATGTGTCGAGGAAAAGAGAGAGAGAGAGAGAGAGAGAGAGAGAGAGAGAGAGAGAGAGAGAGAGAGAGAGAGAGAGAGAGAGAGAGAGAGAGAGAGAGAGAGAGAGAGAGAGAGAGAGAGAATCAATCATTTACTCAAAGTTTCTCCATGAGAAGAGCAGAGGGCATGTCTTGAATGGGCAAGCTAGCAGTGAGGAGGTAACCGCATGCGATCTTTCGTTCTTTCCTCCTCCTCCTTCGTTATCCCACATCTCCCTCGCCACATCGACGCCCACGCCAGCCCTTGTCCACACATCTCAGCACAATATGGAAACTCGCAATCTGATATAGATGCCGAGCGCTTCTCCCTGCGCTGCCTCCGTAAGCTGCCGGCGAGGAGCGTTCCTTGACACGTCATCAGCTGCTGGTGCTCCCTGCATCAAATAGAGCGAAGAAACTGGACTTGTTCTATCCCTGGCGATCGAATACTATCCGCATGTGTTTTTGTCCCACGTGCTGAGGCCGACTCGGGCGAGATCACATTAACAGAAGTCACGCCTCGCGTAGATCGATATCGTAGGAATGCCACAAAAACTGCGGCGCGCGGTCCGGAGTCTTGCTCTCGTGACATGTGATAGTTCCGGCTGCTCAGCGCGCCCTCGCAGCCTCCCTCTATGTCCCCGCTCGTCCCTTGCGGCGCCTCTCAAAGGAGATTCTTATCCCGTGCCCCATGACGGGCGTCTCTGTCCCTGTGCCTCAGGACGGGAAACTCGCCGCAGCTGCCGATGACGAAACAATCAAGTCAGATCATCGGGGTCAGCAGCTGTCATCTTTGCCCGCCAACGTATTCTGACTCCATCGGACAAACCTTGCGCGAGTGCTTAGGAGGAAAGTTTATATCCTGATGCCCCAGTGCAGAGAAAAAGTCTAGCTTTCAAGGTCTTGTTACGGCCATTTCCCTTCCACTGTATAAAGGCGGTACAGTGGTTCTATAAAGCAGATTTCCCACTAAGTAATGCCCAGTTATATACTAAACAGCCAAACAGCAGGCAGAGTTTGCCTCGCTGACACCAACTAACACTTACTGCGGACGCAACAGCCCTCATACAAAATTCGATGTCTCGCGTAACCACCACGAGAGCCAACTAAAGCAAAGCCCCTGCAACATCAGCTGCACGTATCCGCCCTGCAGCAGCAATGGCGACTATAGGGGGACCCCAACTTGCTCTAAGTGTCCTGCCAAGGTGGCGAGGGACACCGCCGAGGCCACGGAAGCCATAACGAAGGCGCTGACAATATG